TACTCCGACCGCAGATCAATTACTCACTATCTACCCACACATTACATTCCCATCTTTTATATACCAGCCCACCCTACATCGAGCAATTACTAGAGCATTCCCGAAAGAACAAGATAGTTCTAGAAAAAAGAGAGCGTGAGAATTGTCACGTGATCTCGATGACGCAACAAATATGTTATGACAACGTTGTGGCTCTGTTAGACGTTAATGGTGATTGTATATTCAACAACGTTAGAGAAACGTCATGTGTTAGCTGGGTAAGATGATAGTTTATCTCAAAATATACGCAAGTACTTACAGAAAGCTTTGTTTTAAGAAGATATCTTTGATAATGGTGTGAACCACATCCCATTATTATATCGCAACAACTATCGATTACCTATATCCTAAAACACAGAACCTTCTTTCCTACGCCTACAATAATGAGCCTCTTCTATTTTAGACATTATACATTTATATAATTTAGATATTATTGTGTTTAGATATTTATATACGACATTGAGGACCATTGTTATCTGGTATTGGAACGGTATTTCACGCCGGTTGAATATATAAAGAGATTTAAGTGAAAAGGTTTGGTGTTTATTTAGCGCAAAATAATACAATGGGCTCTCTGCCTCTGTCCATTTCGGATAACCGAACCTCGTATTTTAGTGTTGTAAGTTCGTAAACTTACAACAATGGGTACAATATCTTAAGCACTGGAACACTAATGTGGTATTTATATTAGAAAATGATAATGCCAGTAAAACATTGAAGAATAAAATTTGTAAGTATTATTCAAAGGGTTCATTTTTCAGATTTTTTTTTTCTAAATTGTTAGTTTTGGAACTTGGTTAAGGGTATTCTATAATTTTTCGATGTAGTAATAACGGGTTCTAATTAGGCGAGGGGGGTATTCAGTCTAAATTTTCTTTTCTCTCTCATTGTTTTATATATAATGTATAATCAATACAATAACTCAACCGACACAATCTTTTATTTAGTGCTACCCAAGATTTTTATTCGCATTTATTGAAGACAAAAGTAATTGTATTTTCCTAGAAAATAGAAAGAAAATCATGTACGTCACTATACTCTGACGTATGTTTCACTTAATTATGAACAAATTAGCGGTTCTCGATAAGGTGATTCAGTTTTATCTTTTAGATATGGCTAATCTGTTTACGCATGCCAGTAAAAGAACGGCAAGTTTCAGATATCACTTACAAGTTAAGAACTTTTCAAATTATTTATTACCAAATATTGAAATGTCGTGCTGCATAAGTGTTTACATATCAACAAATATAACGGAAATATTTTGCCTCACCAGGTGGCAGGATTACCAAGGTTAAAACGAACTTGATTACTTTCTTTATGTATGCTACTGCTATTTGTAGTGGAAGTGTGGGTTAAAAATAAGTTACAACTACGTTAAAAAAATGGGCACCTTCATGTTGTGCAAACATGTTTCAACTTTACCCCAGTTCCTTCCCCGTGGATTAATTGTAAGTATTATTTGTAATTACAAATTATAAAGAGAAACAGTACTTTTAATTCAAGTGTTATTTAAATTTTATTTTAAACAAATCACATAATTTAAAGTCGTTAGACTAACTTTTTTAAGCCTAACACTAACAGTTAGAAACTTCATTAAAAAGTCATAGATAAAATAATTTCCGTTTACAGTTTAAGCCTTCTTGTAGTGTATGCTTATTATCGTTAACTTCGAAAATAAAGAAAAAAATATCAAGTTAAGCGTTACTTAGAATTTTACTATATAACAAATAACGTCAAATTCTAAATTAGTAAATATTCATTGTAACAAATGATAATAATTACAAACTAACAGTAACAAAGCTCATAGATGTAGTCTAAATTAAAGAAAGAATTTCATGTGATAAGTGACATTTTATTACTCGTAATTAAATTTAAATGAAATGTATGTAAGAAAATATAACATTTAAAACAATAACAATAATATATAAATAACCCACAAAAGAAAATTAGTGAACATATAGGCAAGAATTTCAGAGCCAACACATTTTATTGACAAAAGTCAAATGGTTCCTTGTTATTCATATGTTAGGTTAGATTTGGAATAATTTTCTTTAGAAATTAACTATTTCAGTCCTTGACATTGGTGTTAACATGTGACTGCTTTTATATGTTACAGTAATCAGGAAGGTGCTTTGTACTTCATGTCAGACATTTCCAAAACAGATTATGAATATAATATTAAGAAATTGCCTAGTGGAAGCAATTTGTCATTTAACGTTGTGCATGAATTATAGCTGTTGCAAGTGTCCTTTTGGTGTTTGCAGTGTGCAGGTCTGGAGTATTTTAAACTAAATTTATTTTAAAACTTTCTTTGAGGCATGAACATTGCCTGGGTTTTTCAACTTCATTTAAAGATATGATATAAACATATTTGGTTAATATTAATAATAATTTGGCATTTTCTTAAATGTGGAAGGGAAATGATAGTTCCTTATGAATTGACAGAGTAATGTGGACTGTAGTGTACAGACCTAAAAGTCTTCAATTTATTAGCAGGGCTACATTTTAGATACCCAATGTAAATGAAAGATACATTAGTTGTAAGTTATATACTTCAGTATATCTAAAACTATAAAACCTAGCAGTGCAATAATTTTAAGATAGCATTTTATTGATCAAGTAATCTGTTTTAAATTTCTCTCTGTAGAAATTATTTTCCATACCTCATTGAGGATTTGAACCTCATCTTCATCTTATCATAATGTTTATCTTTTGGAACAAAAGTACCCATCTAATTTCACCAAAATAGTCAATATTGGCAAAGCTTATTCAAGGTACATAAGTGATCTTCTTTAAATTTCCATGCTCTTTATTTATAACAATAATACCATTAGGAAATTTTTCGAGATAAGCATGATATAATAAATATATGTTTTTCTATCAAGTTTCTTTTTTTTTTTTTTAACAGTGTACAACTACAAGACCACATTACACAAGTTTTAACTTGTTTCTTCACTTAAATGAAAAAATCTTTTCTAAAACAGCTTTAAGACAATAACAAATCAAAAATCTATTATTGCTTACCTATAATTTGTGTGTAACAAAAATTTTCAAAATACTTTTTTTTTCTAAAATAAACCATCAAATTGAATTACATTAATTTTATTAATATCCATTCAGAAGAGTGATGAAATGATAAGGTTGGAACCAAGCTGTTCTACCAAAACTGTTTTTTTTTTCAGCTATAATCTTGGGAGTTAGATTAAATTATGATGTGAAGCAGGGTGTTAACTTGAATTTTTTAACTTGTTGAATATGCATTTATAAATGAGTTTAAAAATCTTATTTAGCATTGGTTTAGTAAAGTTGATTGGTTATTGAGTCTTATAATTCTAAGATATCCCCATCATATTGCTTATTTGATATCGTTAATGTAAGTTATTGGGAATTACAGTTGGATCAGGAATATATTAAATTATCATCATTAAATAGGAATTAGTTTTGTACATCTGTGTATTGTTTACAGTTTTTTATTTTGTTGTATGTGAATTAATTTGGTATTTTAATTTGAGTTAAATTTGAAGTGAATGTGGATTTTTATTTTATTAGGTGTTTTTACTTGCATGTAACCAATTGTGTTTTTAGTAAGTTGTGCAAGTTATCATTGGTTGTGCAATATGTACACAATACTTGGTGTGCAAATCAAATCAGCATGGAATATGCCATTGAAAATGTTGAATAGATCAGACTACAAAATGCATCTTTAACAACTTTGTAGTAAATGACTTTCTTGAAGATTTTATAAGCTGATCATAGCAGCTTTTAACCCCCTCTGGTGCAATTAAACATAAATAGAAAATTTAAGTCCACAATTATATCTCAAAATTTGTATACAAAGTCTTTTAAATTCTTGTCTTGCATTTTTAAAATGGTAATAGCAAAACATTTGGGTTTAAAAATTGATGAGAAGTAATCATTTTATCAAATGTTTTTCTTTAGCATAGTGGTTCCAAACTTGAGGGAAGTGCAATATCACATGATATAATAGTTTTAAAATAAACTGGTCGCACAAGGGAACTAATATGTTAAGGTGGTTAACAATGAGGGTGAGAAAAAGGATGTATTATTATTGGCTTATATATTTTTTAATTTAATTATGACAAATAACTTGCAGGTATTTTTTTTTTCTTGACAAAGAAGGAAAATTTGATTTTGCAATTGTGTTAATATTAAATAGTTCTGCAAATAAATGCGAAGTATAAAATCTGTATTTTAATATTCTTCTAGGTTCGTACTGCTCAAACAGCAGCAGCAACAGCTCCAAAGGCAGATGCTCGACTGAAGACCTTCTCTATTTACAGATGGGTAAGTGTAAGCCACATAGTAAAATACAAAACATTCTAGATTAAGTGTATAATCTGTAAACCACTTTAAAATAATTTATAAATGTTAATATAGGCAAGTAAATTATTTCAGAATCATTGATATATATCCTTTGAACTTGCTCCTAACATGATCTTTGGACTCATTGTGTAACATGGTAGTTTTACCCTTATCACCTGTCTACATGTATGATAACTGTTAGACTTGCAATATAATGTTTCAGATGCCATACATGGTTACTTTATTAATTGTAAAAGTGTTTTAATAGGCAACTGACATTGAATGCCAACATATGGTTATACTTATTCAACATTAATTTATAAATTATAGACCATTTGAAGAATATAAGTGTTATTTTGAAATTGCGGGTTAGAAGTTAATTGTGATAAAATTTTAAAAGAAGGGGATGGGCTAACTTAATATAAGGGTTAGACTGCATCTTGTTGGGACTGAAAACATAAAAAAATGGTTGTCAACAGGTTGAATCTATGTGGGATTCAAGATACAAAGATAGATACTTTACTAACACTGATTTAAAAAAAAAAAACAAACTTGAAATGCAAATATTGCTGACACACACTTGGAGCAACTGGAATCAAAATTCAAGGACACAGAATACACAACAACCAAAGAACTTATCACACAGAAATCAAAACAAATACATAATGACACTTCTACCAAATGTAGCAGTACCCTGTGTTTGATGTATGATGAAATATTGGAAAAAAGCACAGGTGGGATTGAACTTGGGAAAATGAAGAGCACAAAAACTGCAATACTAGGAGAGCAACAGAAGCCATTTTCTCACTTTGATGAAGCTAGGAGAGTAACAGAAGCCATTTTCTCACATTGGATGAAGCTAGGAGAGCAACAGAAGCCATTTTTCTCACTTTGATGAAGCTAGGAGAGTAACAGAAGCCATTTTCCCACTTTGATTAAAGCTAGTAGAGCAACAGAAG